GTGTGGGGGTGTGTGTGTGTGTGTGTGTGTGTGTGTGTGTGTGTGTGTATAAAAAGCTGTCCAATTGAAGTAAACTACTTAAAAATGTAGCACCATTTAAAATATAAACTTCAGCAAAATCCTGTAAACTCCACAAAGTGGGCAGAGACTGAGATTTCCAGTGAAAACACATTCAATATTCTAGGCATGGCCACCGCACCGTTTACATCAATCATGTTTGCCATCTTCTTGGGCATGTAATTATTTTTTTGTTATTACAGTTGCATCTAGGAATCCTAGTCATGGACCAAAGATCCATTGTGCTAGGAGCTGTACAAATACAGAATTAAAAAATACAGTCCTTGCCTAGAGATGATAAAATATGTGTATTCACGTAAATGTGTAACCACCAGCTCCCTGCACATACTGGTTCCCACCTGCTCCCTACCCTGTGCTGCAGCCTCTATATCAGAGACAGCAGGAGGTAGGGATGTAAAATTTTGATTTGACTTATCGAATAGTTGATGAAACTTACATCGATTGGTCGATAAGGGTACTTCTGCCTTTGAAGTGTAGCAAATGCTACGCTTCAAAGGCGAAAGTGCTGCAGGGAGCTCGGGGCCAGCCGGGGACTCAAGCAGTCCCCCGCTGGCCCCCATGCTCTGAGACGTTTAAAAGCAGCAGCACTGTGAGGAGCCTGCGGTCATTGGTAGAGTCCCCAGCTGACCCCAGCTCCATGTGGCGCTCCCGCTTTGAAACACCACGGGGAGCCCAGCTTCAGGCTCCATGTGGCATTTCAAAGTGTCAGCGCCATGTGGAGCCTGGGGTCAACAGGGGAGTCCCTACCTGACCCTGGGCTGCACGTGTCATTTAAAAGTGGCAGCACTGTGTGGAGCCCAGGATCTGGCCCCAGACTCTATGCGGCAGTGCTGCTTTGAAGCCCCCCACTTTTCTTCCCCCCCCTTGCTGTCTCTTCCTGATAGACATTTGTTGTCCTAGCTCTAGGGAGAAGCAGTTATTGAACAAATGGACTTGCAGACAGACTCTCTCTAGAGAGATTTTAGAGAGGGAGAGATGTTAAAGAACGGCAGATGCAGAGGGAGCAGTTTTGTGTAAAATGAATTAGGGATAGCTGTTTGCTATGAAAAGGTATTGAGCGATTGGTTAATCGGAAAACGTCACCCTTAACTTTACTGGTTCTGGCTGACCAGCGGGGGCTTGAGCAGCTCCTGCTCCAGCCCCGCCAGGGCAGCCCCTGTCCACTGCAGGCCCAGCCTAGGCACATCTATCCCCCTTTAATCAATGAACCAGTTAAACACTTTTTACATCCCTAACTGAGTTGACAATATCTCTAAAGATTCATTATCATATAGAATTAGAACCTTTCTGTAAAATGTAAATCGATTCAATTTAAAAACATTTTCATTTATATAGCCAATGTTTAAATAGAAAGCGGTCATATTCATAGACTGACCTCGTTTGGGATTCCAGAAATACACCTCAGCATTGAGTGCACATGAGAGGCAAGAGACTTTCAAAAGCCACTACTGAATTTACTTAAGAAAAAAAAATCCTGAAAAATTTCCATTCATTTAGATGCTTACTTGCATTTCCTCTGTTGCAAATTGTTATCAAATAGATGATGAAACAATGACTGGACCTTTAGTACAGTAGACTCCTTAGTACAGTAGAATCCTTATGGTTATGCTGGATATTTCTATAATGGAGAGTCAGGGCAGGAGCGTGGGGGTTGCAGAAGTTAGAGTTGGGGGTGAGGAGGGGCTCAGGGCAGGGAGTGTTGGGGGTGAGGGAGGGCTTCACCGCAGTCTCCCCTGCCCGTGGGGCGAGGTGGCACCCCAGAGACAATGCTGTGGCCACGGAAGCTCCTGGAGCACAGGGTCCAGGAGCCTAAAAGCAGGAGGGCCAGCCAGTTGTGGTATCAGTCAGCAGCCTGGCTGGGGGCAGCATAGGACTGGGGCCAAAGCCCTTGAGTAGCCCCAGGAGCGCAAGGCTTGGGTCTAAGCCCTGCAGCTTCTCCCGACTGTATGGGGCTGGGCTGGGGCTGTGCAGGGATGGGGACGGAGCCCAGTGGCTTCCCCCAGCTGTGTGGGGGCAGGGGCTGGGGCAGCATGGGGATGGGGTCAGAGCCCCAGCCCTGTGGCTGCTCCCAGCTGCACAGCCATGGAGCCTCCTGGCAGGAGCTGGAGCCTGTTTGATCAGGGAGCCAGCAGTAGCTGGGCAAGCAGCCCAGCTAGGTTGAGGGCTGGGGTTGAGTCAGGGTTGCCTGCTGTGGCAGCCTGCCAGCAGCAGTTGATGGGCTTGGGGGCCGGTGGCAGGAGACTTCCCTAGTGCCGGCAAATTCTCTTGTTTGGAACTGGTGGGGTCCTGATGATGCTTAACCAGGGAAGTCCAGCCTGTAGTTGAGTAGTCAACTGCTCGTGTACATCCCTACTGAGAACAGCCTCTCTCTGCCCTCTTTGGAACCCCCCTTTAAATTAGTTAAAGGCTATCAAATCCCCCACGCTCTTCTCTTCAGTAGACTAAATAAGCCCAAATCCCTCAGCCTCTTCTTGTAAGTCATGTGTTCAAGCCCCTAATTGTTTTTGTTGCTCTTACTGTTTGGGAGTTCTTGAACAGACAGACTTATGGACACACACAAACTCTCAAATATATGGTAGACTAGAAAACTTCCCAGCATTCCCCTCTGCCCTGCGGCCCTTAACCCCAGGGCTGGACTGAGGGGGAGGAGTTCAGGGCAGAGAGGCTACTTACCTGGGCCAGTGGCAGATAAGATGGTGAGCTGTGTCCTTAGCTTGTCACTCCCTTCCTGTCCCCAGCAGTTACTTTGCAATATAGCTGTCCCCTGTGCTCACTGCCCCCCAGTGACCATTGTGCAGTATCCTGTACTTCCCAGCATCCCCCAACATTTTGTTATGGAAAACAATTGAATTTCAGGTCCATCCCATTTTCCTGGCACAACCAAACCATGATCTTGCTTTAAGTTAAGGTAAGAAGTTGCTGCATATCAGATTTGTGGCCTAGCTGTTACCATTTAGGAGGAGTTCTTGGACTTGCAGAACAGATGGACTTGCAAACAGACAGATGCATATATCTCTATATTACATGAGAATTGCATATATTCTTCAAATTTAAGGAGCACATTTTGGAAATCAATTGTAAATGTACTTTTCTGAATCTTACAAAACTTTGAGACTATGCTATATTATCAATATTTTCTGTTTAAGACTTTTGATTTGCTGAGACATAAAGAGTATGCATTAATTTCAGCCCTGATCCAAAAAAGCATCATTAACTTAAAGTAGGAATGTAAAATCCTGTTTAATGGGATTAACTGGTTAAACATTATATTTAACTGGTTAACCGATTAAAGGGGGCATGAATGGGGGGGGGGGGGTTCCACCCCACAGTGCTGGAGTGCGCACACATCCTTTGCAGGGACAGGATTCTCTAGCTTGGCTGGAGTAGTACTTGCCTGCAGGGCACCTGGGCTCTGTGCAGACAGAGGCTGCTCTCTGTGTGTGGCAG